GTCTTTTACTGTTTTTTAATTGATGCACTGGGATGGCTGCCTGAGCCTAGCCTGGGGAGTCTGCCAGGGCTGGGAGTCTTGTTCTAACCCTCAACTCCTCCTTAACATTACTTAAAGTCCTCAGGGTTCATCCATGTTATAGCTCAGGTCAGGCCTTCATTCCTTTTTCAGGCTGAATGATGCTCCATTGTGTGCATATACCATACTGTATTTATCCGTCCATGGACGAACAGACTCCTGAGTTATTTCTACCTTTTGGTAACTGTGAATTAATGCTGCCTAGGACAGAGTGTGTAAGCACCTGTTTGAGGCCTTGCTTTTAATTCCTTGGGTAGAGGGGGAACATGGAGGGGTTTCAGTTTCACTTTTTATCTTCCCTTTCCTGCCTTCCCTCTACAAAGGCTCGCTGCACATCAGGAAAAGATGCTGGGTATTTGCAAAGAAGGACTTGACTGTTTTAAACTGGAGACATGCTCTAAGGGAAAAGAGTCAAATAAAAGCCAAGGTGCCCATTTTCCCCTCTTCCTCCTTCCCTTCTGTGCTCCCCACCATTCTTAGCCATCCCTCTTTCTTCTGAGTATGTAACGAGCGGCCTGGCCTCCTGTGTTTCTAAGGCCCACGCAGCAGAGCCATTGCTCCTCCAGGACTTTATTAATGCCATTTACGATTCCCATAATAACTACACCATGCTGTTTTCCCAACACCAGGCCTCAGAAAAGTCATTACCCTGTTGATCACAGCAAAACTTAATTCTGCCGTGCTGCCTGCTGGTGCAATTTGCTATGAGTAACTCCCTGTGTTCTGGCAGTAAAAACAAATTAAATTAAAGATCCCTGTTCACCAAAGGCCTAATTCTAATTTTTGCAAAGTTTCCGTTAAACAATATTGTCTGCAGAAAGCATGTACTGACATCCCCTCGGGAACCACATGGAAAGGCAATTCTAATAGAATTATTAAATTTTCTCATTAATTTCATGTTATATTCGCTTAGCATTTATTAATAATATTAGGAAGACTCAAAGATCTGTCCTCTTTGGATTCTGTAAAGCATTTATGGAAATTAGACTTCACTGGGGAGACAGTTTCCAGTGCTGAAAATCACAGAT